TTTGTCTTGTCACTTCTGAAAACATTCCAGTTAGTCCCATCAAATGAATAACATAAGCTGAACTCCTATGATGCCTACATGTCTCTTTATGCATGTGTGAAATTGACCAAATAGTATAGGTAACAAATAAGTGTTTCATTCTTCTCAAAAGCAATTTAAATAGAAACGGACTATAGAGTTCTAGTCATTGTTATACCTTTAGTTCTGAACTAGGTAATTCAAGAAATGACTAGCTTTTCTGATTGTGATTTTGTGTTTGTTTGTTTTATTTAGAAGCTCCTTTTTTTTAAGCATGAATGGCTAGGCAAAGAGAACTGTCCACAAGTGCACAATTAATTTTTTTACCATAAATAATAGCTTTAATTCTTATTAATTTTGCATTGTATCTTAATGGTTTGGGTTCTCATTTATAACCCTGACAAAGTAATTTACAATCTCTGTTCTTCTCAGGAAAATGAGGAAGACTCCCAAAGACATGGATTGCTACAGTAGCACCAACAATGGGCTCAAGTGTAGCAATGTTTGTGAGGATGGTGCAGAAGCAGGTAGTGTTTCTTTGTGTTTTTCATAGCGCCCCTAAGAACTGGAACCGACTCAACAGTACCTAACAACAACAATTAACTGGCCAGCTGATTTAAGGTAGATCTTGAAAGAAAGCAGAGAATACCAGAGAGGTGTTTACTTGTTCTTTCTTGACTATACAAACTCAATGGGTATTCCAAAAACAATTGCCTTCCCAATATACTGACGTATACAAGTGAAGGCCTGTAGTGCTGAATCAGTTTACGGAGACATTTCATTTCAACTTATATCGGTCAATTCCTGGAGCCTTATTCTCGTCATTGCCTTCAGAATTGCATGGAACGGCTTCCTTCAATACCATTGGTTCTTGCTCATCTGGTACATCTTGAAATGCCTGTACTTTTTTACTCTGTATATTCCTTCTACTTTTTTTCTTTTTCTAAAAATTTTTTCCCAGAATCATTCATCATTTTGCATATGTTGTTGTTAGGTGACATCGAGTCGGTACTGATGCATAGCGACCCTATGCACAACAGAACGAAACTCTGTCCAATCCTGGGCCAAACTCACAATTGTTGCCACTCTTGAGCCCACTGATGCTGCCACTTTGCTAATCCATCTTGCTGGGGGTCTTCCTTTTTTTCTCTGACCTTACATGATGTCCTTCTCAAGCCTATAGAATCCTTCAATATTGACAGTTGAGACTTGGAATTTGTCTTCAATTTTAATGCTAAGTGTTCTTGTCTTTTAGGTTTTTAACTCCAGGCCTTTGCACATTTCATTGTAATATAATAATCTGTCTTCTTGAGAGGTCCTTTGAAATGTTCTGTTCAGCTCTTTTACTTCATCATTTCTCCCACCTGCTTAAGCTTAGCTACAAGTTTCAGAGTCACTTCTAACATCCACTCTGGTATTTTCTTTTTTTGCCTGTCTTATTAATGTCTACTCCTTTCTTCATGTCTAATGTTCTTGATGTCATTTCACAACTCCTCTCATCTTCAGTCATTAGTGTCTAATGCATCAAATCTGTTCTTGAGATAGTCTCTAAATTTAGATGAGATGTACTGAAGACCATATGTTGGCTCTTGTGGACTTATTTTAATTTCCTTCAGCTTTAATCTTAACTTGTATATAGCAACTTATGATCTGTCCCACAGTCTGCCCCTGGCCTTGCTTTGAATGATGACATTGAGCTTCTTCATGGTCTCTTCCCACAGATTTAGTCAATTCTGTGTTTCCTATGCATTCCATCTGGGAAGGTCCATGTGTATATAGTCACCACTTATGTTGTTGAAAAAAGATATTTCCCATAAATAAGTCACTGGTCTTACAAAATTCTATTATGCAGTCTCCAGCATCATTTCTGTCACCAACGCCATATTTTCTAACTATAGATCCTTCCTTTTTGTTTCCAACTTTCGCATACTAACCACCAGTAATAATCAATGTATCTTGATTGTACATTTGTTCCATTTCAGACTGAAGAAGTCAGTAGAATTCTTCTATTTCATCATCACTGGCTTTAGGAGTTAGTGCATAAATATCAATAATATTGTTATTAACTTGTCTTTCTTATAGGTGGATGGATATCATCTGATCACAGACAACATTATACTTCAAAATACATCTTGAAATGTTCTTTTTGACATGAATATGACACGATTCCTCTTCAATTTGTCATTTCTGGCATAGTCAACCATATGATGGTCTGACTAATATTTAAAAATGCATCCTTATATTTCAAAATATTATATGATGTTATTCTTCCATTACTTGGTCTTTTGAGAAATATCTATCCATATTACTTTTCAAAACTCATGACTAAGCTTACTTTATATGTTGATATTCTTGTTATGTGTAGTCTAGCCCTGTATAGGCTTTATGAGAGCGACTGGTGGGTTTGAACTGCCAACCTTATAGTTAACAGTCCAGTGATTATCGTACAGCGCCATACGAGGCTCTTACTTAATACAGGGTTAGCAGATCCTTTCTGGTTTTCATTTTGCCCAGCCCTCAGTTTATTTGTTAATTATTAAATACGTTGTTAGGGACCTCGAATTCATTTAGACTCTGAGTGAAAACCTGCCCCAGAGGGTTGTTTAGGAGGTGCTGTTTAGGGAAGTAGACTTTCGGGCTTTTTCTCTTGGAGCCTCTGGGTGCGATGGAACTATTTATTTTTTCGTAGCCCCCAATCACTTAACTGTTGTACCACTAGACATTCTCATTAGTTACACTAAGTGACCTCTTTCAAAGCTCAATATTGTTGTTGTTGTTGTTATTAGGTGCCATCATGTCGGTACCAACTCATAGCAACCTTATGCACAGAAGAACGAAACACTGCCCGATCCTGGCCCAACCTCTCTATTGTTGCCACGATTGAGTCCATAGATGCTGCCACTTGGCCAATCCATCTCGCTTGGGATCTTCCTCTTTTTCTCCGACCCTCCACCTTACCAAACATGATATCCTTCTCCAGTGACTGGTCCCGCCTGACAAATTGTCTGAAGTATGAGAGATGAAGTTTGGCCATCTTGGCCATCAAGGAGCACTCTGGCTGCACTTCTTCCAAAACAGATCTATTGATTCTTTTGGCAGCCCATGGCACTTTTATTTTTCTCCTCCAACACCATAACTCAAAGGCATCAATTCTTCTACGGTCTTCCTTATTCACTGTCCAGCTTTCACATGCATATGAGGTTATTGAAAATACCATGGCTTGGGTCAGGCGCACCTTAGTCCTCAAGCTGACATCTTTGCTCTTCACCAGTTTTGAAGCTCACTAAATGAACTAAAAGTCTACTCTGAACCCAAATCGAATTCTTCCTGTGCTTCTATAACACTTTGTACACACTCAAATGATCAATAACACTGAAAGCTACTCTTTACTTATTTGTTTATTTACCTATTAAACTGTGAACTTCAATGATGTAAAGACTGTATATTGTTGTTGATAAGTGCAGTCGAGTGGATTTTGACTAATAGCAGCTCTGTAGCAGGTTTCTGAGAAGCAGCAGGTGGATTTGAACTGCCAACCTTATGGTTCACACTCCAGTACAGTGCCACATCAGGAGTCCAAAGAGTTTATAGACATAGGAGAATATCTAAAGTTAAAGTTTGGTCTAGAAGAGTCTAGTCAATTAAATAAACAATGAATTAAACTGTTATTTCTGTTGTTGTAAAGTATTATCAAGTTGGTTTCAACTCATAGGACCTTGTGTAGGGTTTCTGAGGTGCAAGTGGTAGGTCTGAACTGTCGACCTTGGGTTCAGCAGTCCAATGTTTATCCTACAGTTCCACACCAGGACTGCAATTAAGCTATTATCCACCAATGTATTTCTTTAAAATGGGTGGATCAGTGATTATCTTAAATTTGCTTATAAGTAGGCTAAGGTTTTTGATAAATGAAAGTATGCATATGTGCAAATATGAAGCCTGAAATGATAATGTTATTTAAGGGTAAGTTTGGGTTCAAAATGAATCCCTGGTGGCACAATGGATAGTTGAAAGGTTGGTGGTTTGAACCTGCCATGCTGAAGAAAGATTTTTACCATAACTATTACAGCTTTGAAAACCTCATGGGGACAGTTTTACTGCATCCTGTACAGGGTCACTATGGGTTAGAAACCAACTCAAAGGCACTTAATAACAATAACTACAACATAGGTTCACTATGAGTTGTCTCTGTTCTACAGGGTCACCATAAACCCACTGCCAGCAAAATAAACTGACTTTGCTGGCCATAGATTTATGGGATTTGGGGTGAAAACGATTCTACAAATGACTGAGATAAAGCTACCCTGGGAAAAAGGCTACTGTGCACACCAAGATGAACCCCACAGGACATTAAATTTCTCCAAGTAATTGGCTCACTATCGTGCGTACTGTGAACAGTTGAGGTGAGTTGATCTAAATCAGGTGTCAATAAACTTTTTTGGGGATGGGCCACATAACAAATACGTTTTGCAGGACTTCCAGGCTTTACATGCCGGTGGTATAAAAGGAGCCACAGAAAGATGTCAGTGAATGATCCTGGCTACACTCCAAAAAGCATTTATTTACAAAGTTAAGTAGCAGGTTGGCTTAGCCCATGAATACAGTTTACTAACCCCTGATAGAAATCATGTTTTGTTCATAGATATAAAGAAAAAAATAATCATATACAAATCTTTCTTTTAGATAATAAATTTTAAGTAAATGTCATAGTGTTAGAAATCTTTAAATCCAAGGAAATCCACAATTTTATGGGAACATGAAAACAGTCTGCAAGATATCACCTTCAGTAAAGTTTAGTAAATTTTATAGAAGCTTCGTTAAAGCAGTTCATTTTTTCCTAGTCATTTATTTACCTGAGATAGAAAAATAAAATAGCAACAAACACCACGCCTTCAAGAGAAAATGGATCTTTTTTGCTAAAATACCACCAGTATACTACACTGAACAGTAGATACAACAAGGGTTTCAAGAGCAGAAGGGCTTACCTTGTCAAGAAATCTGTGAAGGGAAGGCGGACAGGGTACCCATATCGAATGATCTTCACCATCTCTAAGACTCCAATATATTGTAGCTGAGCAGACACATAAAAATTATCAAAAGTATCTGGCAGTCTTGAGTTATTGGGCTTGATGCAATGAATGAAGTGTGGGGTGCACTTCTGAAGTTTTCCAATAATATCCGTTAGAGATTTCTAAGGAGAAAAGAAAAGCCCATGTGATTCTCCAAAGTACACACTAACTGCAAATATCAATCAGTGTCTCAGTAAAAGCCTGTATCTTCAATAGGTGATGTTTCAGTTCTTATAGAAAGGGAGGAAAATGCAGAACAGAACTTAAATATTTACAAAGCCCACAGTTAGTACGACTAATGAACTCCCCAAGACTATTATACACATAATAGCTATGTGCATTTCTGAGAAGCACTTTAGTGACTCAAAAAATGTGAAATCTGATTCTATGTATAAACCTTCACCATTTATATGGTCATAATCCAAGTTTGTGAAATCTAAAAATGTCACGAACCCTGAATTGTGATGCTATGGAGACTGGACCTCCCCATTCCAGTTTCTGAAGAAATGTCGCCGTTCCTTTCCTTTTTATTAACTGCAGGGAAAACAGAAAAAGTGAGCAAGTTTATTTGATCAAATTCCAGTTCTAACCTTTCCATTTCTATAAAGTCACTAATAGGCAAATACGGACTGAAAGTATAGTTTGTTTTTCTTAAATTCGTTTTGTTTGGTTTTAACAAGCTAGTACCAAATGAGTTTCTGTGATAGCATTATAATTTGATGAAATGGTCAACTACATGTAAAAATGCTATTCTTGCCATCCTTTCAAATTACATGTTGTTGTATATATGAAATCTACCAATATCTTGAGCTCATGTTAAGTTGATATTCAACAGACATGTAGCTGCTCATTTGCTTTGTGTGGGCAATTAGTAATATACAGTGAGCTTATTGTACCACATTTATGATCAAATACAGCTTACTCTATAGAAAGAAAATACTGTTTTATGTTATAACGATTTGAGGTTTTCACAATGAGTTTTGCTTAAATTTAAATACAATCTGTAACTGGGTGTCTATACAATTTGATGCATTTTTTACAATTTTTTTCCCTTTATTTTTTAAGTACTAAAAGCGTTTAGCAAATTACCTGTCTATAAAAGACAACAATAGATTGTGGAGGGTTTTTCATTTTTAAATGAAAAAATATACAAATATTTATAGAAATAAAAATAGTAATTGAAATAGAAGTAATGGGCTCTGGTGTGGCATTATAGGATCAACACTTGACTGCTAACCAAAAGGTCAGTGGTTTGAACCCACCAGCTGTTCCCTGGAAACTGACTTGATGGCACTTAGCAAGAACAATGATTAAAATGAGCTCTGGGCACCAATGTCATTCTGCATTTCTCAAAATCACACGGACTTAGACCAATATATCAATCATTCTAAAATAATTTATCTTAAAATGAAAATGTCTTGCTATAAGAAAAAATATCTCATGAAGTATTTTTGTCAATTTGGTGCCATTGTTATTATGACACTAGCTCATTTCCTTCCATTAAGATTAACTGTCAAGCTGAAATGATGAATTGTAACTGACAAGGGAATGTAAAATGAAGAAAGCAGTGTAAGATCAACCTGTTTTCTACCAACAAAATGCCAAGTGTGATGCTCAGTTAAAGAGTGAGTAAAATCCGAATCCTTTCTGGGTCACAAGGGCGAATGCTGAGCAATGAGGGTGGTTTGAAGGGAAAAAATAAGTAAAGCGAGGAATGGAACACTTAAGAAATAATCATAATAAATAAATCCCCATCACTTGAAAGTAGACACTCAATTTCCTTCTCTGGGTGGGGGAACTACTGAATTATCTCCTTTTTGCAGTCCTTCAGGGAAAACACTAATGGCATCCATGCCTCATAATGTTTAATAATTAAGGTTAAAAATTACGGTTTAGAGGTATGTGCTGATTTTCTGCCCTTGCTTGCCAGATGGAAGGAAGAAAAAGGAAGAGCCAGGAGGTATAGTAAACCCTCAGGAATAGAAATCTTCCTTACAAAAGATAATCCTTTGTCTTTTTTAACGTGAAAGGTGCCATTTTGTACATAGCGAAATTGAATTCCTATGACCATCATGTTCCGGCACAACTGCATAAAAGGATCCCTAATTCTTGGATCTATTGATTAATTATACAAACACATTGCTTATATGTTATACACATTTCTGCTACTCTTCAAAAATAGAACATATTTTCATTATGCTTTTATTTTAATTGGTAAGCTAAAATGCATCCCAGCAAGGTACCGCAACTGAATTTCTAAAATGGATTGTCCTGGACCCCTTCCCAATTATATTTCTCATCTTTTATAATTTTTGGCAAAGGCAGCAAAGCAAACTAAGATACAATCAGGCAACGAATTCTTAAGAAACATAAAACACTTCATACATATTCATTACCAATTTGAATTAACTCTTTCCTTAGCATTTAGTTCTATTTTACAAACAGCCAGAAATGTTAGGTTGCATGTACAATCGAATTTGCATTATGACAAATACAGATTAAAACTAAATATACTGTAAAAATAAGCTTAAAATCTGTAAAATGCATAGCAAAAACATTCTAATATCTGAAAAATACACTCTGTGTTTTAGAAAAGAAAACACAAAAAATACAATTTATTGTTTAGAGACCTAAAACCTCTGAAATGATTAATGTCAACAGAATAAGGAAGCTAAGTTAATTCTCTCTACACCTCCTGTCCCAGAAGTTACTTCCCATTCATCAAAGAGACAGTCATATAGATGAAACATAAATAACATGTTGTACAGACAACCAATAAAATGACTACGATTGTATCCGCTATTGAATTTTTCACTGAACTGTACAGTCATAAAGATCTCTCTCTTCTAATGGTTGTACTGCACGTAGACATGTCGTCGTCTTCTTTTTTTTTTTTTTTTTCTACTTTCAAAAAGAATATCAACAGCTTTCATCTAATATTCAAAATGGTGTTTGTTTTCTTTTTTAAAAGAAATAACAATTGTACAAAGTCAATTAAAAATAATAGAACAAGAATCACAAAAACTTTTACCTTACTAAGCTCTAGATAGTTCTTGTTCTCTCCAATAATTGAAGAAGATGTCCTTTTCTTATTTAGTAGGGCAGATTTATATCCTCTGAATTTAAAGGAAGGATAAGAAGATATGAGGGATCCTGTTTGTGACAGCTTCGACTGGAACAAGTGATTGATGACAACATTTTCACTAGCTAGGAAATAAACAAATAAATATTGTAGTGGAATTAAAACGATAATTTATGTGAGCATTAAACTAATTCCTTATCCACATACTTTACCCACGAAACCATTGTGAGTGAAAGACATGAGAGTATGTAGCAATACCAGACTCAGGACTTTATCTTTCCCTAAGTCCCCATGTTATTTCCTCCACTACTGCATTAATTTTGACCTTCACTGCCCTTCATTATCAAAAGTCCTGATCCCATATTTCTCCTCCTCTACCTAAGTGCTTGGCCCTTCACTCTATATCTGTACAGAATCTACTTCTAGCCTAGTTATCAGAATTAAATTTTGCCTGCTCAGATCAAAGAGGCTTTCCTGTACTTGACCAAATCATGAAGACATACGGTTCTGTGAGTATCTCCGAACCGTGGAAAACAATTCGCCAGGAAAATAACTCCCTATGATCTACTCTGGAGTCCTGGTGTGATGCTGTGGGTTAATGTGTTCGACTGCAAGGTTGGTTTGAAATGCAAGATTTAGGCTCACCAGCCGTTCCTTGGAAACCCTACACAGGGTCACTATGAGTTGGAATGAACTCAACTCTAGACGGGCACTTAACAACAACAACAAAAGACCTACCCTGTCTTAGAGTAGTATGTAAATACCCTATCTCATTTGGTTGCTAAGGTTAAAAGAAAGGAAAATAAAGTGACCTTTTCTGATTGAGTTAATATACAAATATAAAATCAAGCTAATATATTTTAGAAAATAGGTTATACAAATTCTAAAGTTCTAAAATCTATTCTTGAGCACTGGAGTACTTGGAGCCCTGAAGCATGGATAAATGGGTTTTTGTTCACAAATGTGAATAGCAAAATGAAAGTAATGTTGCTGTGTGCCATGGAACAGAGATATCAATATAAATTAATGGTTTAAATTATATACAACATATATATTATCTACATCTTTAATTTTCTAGTTATGAAGAAATTTAGAAGCAGTGAAACTCCCATACCCACCAGATCTTAATAACATAGTTAACCCTTAAGGGAACAACATGAATTTGAGCTACAAAGATCAACCACGTAACAAATAAAACACCATGTAATAATGATCATCTCCACATAGAGCAGTTCATCTCTCCAGTAAATTGTCTATTGCAGCAAAAAGAGATCTCTCATGGTTCTTGTGTCTTTTTCATCACACTTACTGAAATACCACAGACCTTGAACACCACCACTGGACCCACAGCAAGTGCCACTAATGATGCTAAAAAGTGTTCCCAAGAAGCAGAGAAAGGCATGACATCACAAGAAAAAGCTCAATTGCTTGGTATGGACCATACACTGAAGTCTGCAGCTGTGGTTGCCTGACATTCCAAGTTAAATGAATTGAACATAAGGATCATTGTTCAAAAGAAATGGAAATTTGTGAAGCTGTCACCCCGAATCCCAAACTCATTGTCATCAAGTAGATTCCAACTCATAGTTATTTTACAGGATACAGTAGAACTGTTTCAAAGGATTTCTGAGACTAAATCTTTACAGCACCTTCATCATTCTCCCTGAGAATGGACAGTGGGTTGGAATCTCTCACTCTGAAGGTAGCAGGCCCAAAGCCTAACCCATTATGCTTAACCTGCACGTTTTGCAAAATATCTTTTTGTTGTTATTGTTAGGTACCATTGAGTCGGTGCCTACTCATAGTGACCATATGCACAGCAGAACAAAACATTGCCTGATCCTGGGCCAACCTCACTCACTACTGTTGCCATGCTTGAGCCCACTGATGCTGCCACTTGGCCAATCCATCTCATTGGGGGACTTCCTCTTTTTCTCTGACCCTCCATCTCACCAAACATGATGTCCTTCTCCAGCAACTGGTCCCTCCTGACAATATGTCGAAAGTATGAAAGACAAAGTTTGACCATGTTGACCTCCAAGGAGCACTCTGGCTGCACTTCTTCCAACACAGATCTCTTGGTTCTATAGGCAGCCCATGGCACTTTCAATATTCTCCTCCAAAACCATAACTCAAAAGCATCAATTCTTCTCCGGTGTTCCTTATTTACTATACCAACTTACACATGCATATGAGGTTATTGAAAATACCATGGCTTGGAAAATGCAGTTTTTATGCATGTGTGGTATATAACATGTATAAGATATATGTTGTTGGTAAGTGCTGTCGATTCAGTTCTGACTTATAGTGACCCTGTGTAGGGTTTTCCAGGACAAGCTGGTGGGTTTGACCTACTGACTTTGTAGTTCAAAATCCAATGCTGATACTGAAGCTCCACACCAGAGTCTAATAACATACATAACATGAGTTCATCGATTGTTTATGGTCTCAGCAAAATGCTACCAGTCAACATTAGGTCTATTAGTAGTTAAGGTTTTGAGGTACTGAAAGTTATTTTTGACTGTGTGGTTTAGGGGATCAATACCCTTAGCTCTCACAGTGTTCAAAAGTCAACTGTATTTCTTAATGCCATTCTCCACTGAAATTATCTGGAGTGCTTGAATACATAGAGAATTCTAGATCCGAGGTAGGGAGATGATCATGGAGTATCTTTTAAAGTCAGCAAATCAGAAAGTGCTTCAAAAAAATCATGAGAACATGTCAAAAAAAAACAAAACCAAAAAACATAGAAAGTAGCTTGAAATGGTTCCTGTTGATGTTGTTAAGTGGCAGCGAGTCAGTTCTGACTTGTAGCAACCCTGTATAGGGTTTCCAAAGAGCAGCTGGTGAATTTGAACCACTGACCTAGAGTTCAAACTGACCTGTGGTCTGATGCATTATTGCTTGGTGCCACACCAGGAGTCGGTTCTAACTGATAGCAAGCCAGTATAGGGTTTCCGAGGTTGTAAATCTTAATGGGAACAGAAAGCCTCATTTTTCTCCTGAGAAACCACTGGTGATTTTGAACTGCTGACAATGAGATTAGCTGCCCGACTCGTAGCCACTACACTACCAGAGATCCTTGAAATGGTTACTATTGGCCAAATATTGGATACTTTTAGCATCATAATAATGATTTTAACTCATCAACTGAAACAAGAATCCATGAGTCTGTGCAATTAAGAAATATTTAGTTAATATGTTGTTGTTATGTGCTGTGCAGTCGATTCCGACTCATAGCGACCCTGTACAGGGTTTCCGAGGCTGTAAATCTTTATGGGAGCAGAAAGCCTCATCTTTCTCCCGTGGAACAGCTGGTAGTTTCGAACTGCTGACTGTGAGATTAGTAGCCTGATTCATAACCACTACACTACCCGAGCTCCCTTTAGTTCATAGAGGAAAAGCTAAAACCCTGATATGCCATCAGAGATTGAATGATGGAGTTAGAAATTCACAATTTTACAACCATAAGAAAACTAATTGATTTAGGCATGTAAACTAGTGGGTGTGAGTTTGATGAGAACAGAATAATCATCTAGTCCCAAAGTCTTTCCTCATAAATAACTTGTTTATCACAAAGGGAAAACAACAACTTCAGATTAGAGAGACGTAGTTCCCTGAACTCCACCTCAGTAAATGACATTTCTTACCGTCATCACATGCTTCTAACATACAGTTCTAGAAGGATCTAGACTCCATGATCTGGGTGTTGCCTCTACAACAATACATAGATTCTAACAATGAAGAAATATCTGATAAGGTCTAACTGAGGGGCAGTGTACAGTCTTTAAACAACTAACCTGTAATTAAAAAAAATATATATAATAAGTATTATAAAAAACAAAGAAACCAAGGTAACTATCTCAGATAAAAGAAAAATGAAGAGAAATGGAAACAAAATGCAATGGGTGATCCCGAATTAGGGGAAAACTGCTACAGTTGTAGTATTTGGTAAAAGCTGATAGGGACTCTGTGGCACTGTAGAATCAGCACCGGACTTTAAACCACAAGGTTGGCTGTTCAAACCCACCAGGTGCCCCTTGGAAATCCCACAGAGGGTCATTGTGAGTCAGAACCAACTCAATGGCACTAAACAACAACTGAATTATATATTAGTAGACTGTGAATTAGATATGAAGATTACTTAATGTTAATTCTAATAATTTACTAAAGTTATGTAAAATGAGCTTTGATCTCTGGACATACAAAAAAAAAAAATTTGGGTGTATAAAAGCATCCAACTTACTCTCAAATTTTTCAGAAAAGCAATGCAAAGTATACACACACAAAGGAAGACAGAGGCAGAAAGGACAGAAAGACGAGGAGGATATGAAATTATTTCAAAATAATCAGTAAAAATTTCACATTAACATAGTCCATTTGGAGTCCTGACGTGGTGCTGTGGTTAATTCGCTGGACTGCAAGTCAATTTGAACCACAAGGCCAGTGATTCAAGCTCACCAGCCACTCCCTGGAAACCCTTTATAGGGTCACTACGAGTCAGAACCAATTTGACAGCACGCAACAATGCGGTCCATTTAAATAAGCAAAATAAAAATGTTCTCATTTTTACTTATAAGTCTATATATAGGTGGATTCCCAGATAAGTAACAGAACATGCTATTCATAAACTTTTAAAAACAAAACAGAAAACTACACCTTAAACAAGTCTACAAACACTAGGCACAGATAGGGACCAAAAGTTTGACTCACGATTAGGTTGCTTAAAGATGAAAGGAACCAATGTCATTAGACTGATTCTAAGAGATGCCATCATGGACTGGTACCCCAATGTTGTTGT